CCTGTTACCATTGAGTTGATTCCAACTCATGGCGACCCATGTGTTCCAAGGTAGATCTAAGCTCCATAGCTCCATCACTTAATCTTTACAGAAACAAATTGCCAGGCCTTTCTTCTGTGACACCATTGAGTGGGTTCAAACCATCAAACTTTTGGTTAGTAGATGAGCGCAAACCGCTAGTGCTACCCAGGGACCTTTCTGTAAGATAATAGCCATTGAAAGCCTCATGGAGCCCAGTTTTATTCGGAAACACTTGGGGTTGCCATGAGTCGGAATCCACTTGCTGGAAACAGGTTTTGTTTTTGTTTTTGGTAAATGATACTTTCAGCTGCTCCCTCACCCCTGTAGCAGGATCTCTCTCACAGAGCCTGTTTTCCCAGCCCTGGCTGAGTGAGCTGCATACCATGGGACCCTCAGGAGCAGTGGGTGGCTGTGTATGACCCCAACAACCATGTATAGTGGCTTTAAAGTGAACTTCCCTGACTGTAGCGGAGGAGGCCATAGGCAGCCTCTGACCCAAACTGCGCTCTATCAGAGTCTCTTGGCTAAAATTTTAGAACCGGGACTCAAGTGGTTTGTGGTACTTGCCACCTTTATGGGCCTGTTTGGCTACTCTGTGTGAAGCAGAAGAAGGTAGTCTATGAAGAGATAGAAAAATAAAGTGTAAGCCCGGAAGGAAAAAGACACATTTAGAGTGAGAGAGGAGAGGCTGAGACCCAGAGAAGTAGGGAGTTTCTGCAAGAGGAGGTTACGACCTTGATTTCACATAGCTTTTCAACTGTTTCCTGTCCCTGTAAGATCGTCCCTTCCAATAAGGTTGTCGTTTTTGCTTAAGTCAGCTTAAACGTATTTTATTTCTTGCAACTGAAGATCCCTGAACAAAAACTTAGGAGCTATGAAAGAGGTTGTGATCGCAAGCCTTGGTGTAAAGCATCATGGGAAATGTATTCCTAGCCTCAACATCTGCTATAGGGCATCATGGGACATGTATTTCTAGCCTCTGATCCCTAGTGTAGGGCATCATGGGATATGTATTTCTATCCTTTGATCCCTAGTGTAGGGCATCATGGGATATGTAACGCTGTTGTTAATTGCCATCGAGTTGATTCCGACTGGCGACCCTGTCTATGCAGAGTAGAACTGCTCCATAGGGTTTTCAAGGTTGTGAGCTTTCGGAAGCAGATTGCCAGGCTTGTCTTCCAAGGAGCATCTGGGTGGGTTCAAACTGCCAAGCTTTTGGCTGGTAGCTGAGCGCGTAACCATTTGAGCCACTTCAGGACTCTGGGAAATGTAATACTAGCCTCCGATTTCTGCTATAGGGTCTCATGGGAGATATAGTCCCACCCTTAATCCCTGCTGTAGAGCCCCATGGGAAATATTCCTAGACTCCAATCTCTGCTGTAGGGCATTATGGGACATGTATCCCTGGCCTCAATATAGGCTCTAGAGACTCATGGGAGATACATTCCTGGCCTCATTCTTGGTGGAGGGCATCATGGTAGTTGTAATTCTAACCTCCAATCTCTATTGTAAGAGATCATGGGAAATGTGAAACTATCCTCAATTTTGACTGTGCAGGATCTCACAAAATGTCACTTTAGCCTCATCTCTGCTGTAGGGCATCATGGGCCATGTCATCCTGGCCCCATTTTTGTTGTAAGGCACCACAGAAGATGTAGTCTTTGCTTCCTTTCTTCCTTCCCTCTTTTCTTCATAACCTGCTTTGTTTCAGGCACTTTTCTTGTAACCAGACGCTTCCAGGTCTGGTCAACGCGGCTAGAAAGACATGAAGCAGTGAAAGAAGAGGAAGCTTTATTGACTTGGCCAAGTAAAGGAGCCCACCAGGACTTGTGTCGCCAAGGTGGCTCCCTGAACACTGGCCCAAGGGGTTTATATGGGTAGAGAAAAATTGGGTCTGCGGTCTTCAGGGACGCCCCAAAGTGGAGTCAGCCTGCTGATTGGTTTGGCCAATAAAGGCATTCCTGGGGTGGTCTGATCTTCTGTGCCTGCTCAGTCTAAGGTGGGGGGGGCACAAAGATGGCGTTTTGCCCACGTCCGGGGCGTACACAGGGGTGTGGTTTTCGGCCTCTGACCTCAATAGGTCATCCAAGGGACACGGTTGTCGGTACTATGCAAGTCAGGCAGGCCAAACCTGGTTCCAGATCAGTTTCGACTGGTCTTGAGACCCCAGTCTCTTGTTTTTCTTAGCTGAGCTGAAACTGGAAGTATACCTAAATAAGGAGATATCTTAAAGACGGGGGGTTAGTTCCTACATTACCTAATACAGATACAGCTTATATGCAAGGAGTTAGTTCTCATATCACGTAGGTGGCAGGTACCACCCCTTGGTTGTTCAAGATGGTGGGTGTGCTATCGACCTCATTCTAGGCTCTGGGAATACAGGAGTGAGCAAGTAAAAGGCCTTGCCCTCCATGGAGATTATAGTGGGAAGAGGTAGCAAACAAACAAACGAACAAAAAAGGACTATTCTAGTTAGCCATTGCTGCGTAACAAAATAGCCTAAAACTTAGTGACGTAAGACCACAGCCATATTATGCTTATGATTCTGTGGGTCAGGAATTTGAGCAAGGTACAGTGGGATTTATGTGTATGTGTTCCACAATGTACTAGGGTCCAAAGTGGGCTGGCCAAACAACTGGAGATGCATGGGATGGATCATCTGGGGCCATATATCTAAAGCCCTTGGTTCTGGCTGTTGGCTGGGTTTCCCCAATTCTTTCACACATCACATCTGCTGGGGCCACAATGTTCAAGGTAGCTCTTCCACTCAGTTGTCTGGTGCCTGGGCTGAGATGGCTGGAACAGTTGAGGCTCTCTCTTCATAAGGTGTCTATGCATGACAGCTTGGGCTTCCTCATAGCATGGCAGTTTCAGAGTATTAGGACTCTTCCATGACAGCTGGCTTCTCCAGAGTGAGCATTCCAAGATTCAAGAAGTGGAAGATTACAGTTTCCTGGAGTCCCTGGGTGGCGAAAATGGTTAAGCACTCAGCTACTAACCAAAAGTTTGGCAATTTGAATCCCCCAGAGGCACCTAGGAAGAAAGGCCTGGCGATCTGCTTCTGAAAAGTCACAGCCATGAAAACTCTATGTGGTGCAATTCTACTCTGAAACACGTGGGGTCGCCATGAGTCGGAATCTACTCAATGACAACTAGTTTTTGGTTTCAAGCCTGGGCCCAAAATGGCCAACAAGCACATGAAAAAATGCTCAACATCATTAGACATTAGGGAGATGCAAATCAAAACCACAATGAGATATCACCTCTCCCCCGTTAGAATGGCAATGATTAAAAAAAAAAAAAAAAACACCAGAAAACAGTAGGTGTTGGTGAGGTTTTAGAGAAACAGGACCTTCATCCATTGCTGGTGGGAATGGAAAATGGTGCAGCCACTGTGGAAAAGTTTGGTGGTTCCTTAAAAAGTTGCACATAGAACTACCAGATAGCCCAGAAACCCCAATCTTAGGTATATACCCAGAAGAAGTGAAGGCAGGAAAGCAAACAGAAACCTGTACACCCATTGTCACTGCCACACTTTTCACAATAGCCAAAAGGTGTAAACAACCAAAATGTCCATCAACAGAAGAATGGATAAACAAAATGCGGTATATATTGTACATACAATGGAATATCGTGCAGCCATAAAGAGAAATGAAGTCCTGGTGCACGCCACAACATGGATGAAGCTTGAAAACATTATGCTGAGTGAAATAAGTCAGTCGCGAAAGGACAAATACTGCATGATCTCACTTACATGAAATAAACAAATATAAAGACACTGAGTTTATGTTGATTGTGGTGGAATATTTTGGAGGGGGATAGCAATCATGGTGGCACAACATGAAAAAAGTAATCAATATCATTGAGTTGTAAACATGGAAGTTGGTGTGTTGGCCAATGTTTTGGTGTGTATATTTTCACCATTAAAAAAAAAAAAAAAAAAAAGCCTGGGCCCAGAAACTAGCACAGCAAAACTTCCACCATGTTCCATTGACCAAAGTCATCACCAAAACCAAATCAGTTGCGGTGGAGTCGACTCCGGCTCAAGGAGACCTCCTCCGACTCATGGAGACCTCATGTGTGTCAGAGTAGAGCTGTGCTCCATTGGGCTTTTTTAATGGATGATCTTTGGGACGTAAATCCCTGGGCCTTTCTTCCAAGATGCCTCTGGGTGGACTCGAACTGCCAACCTCTTGATTAGCCGAGCGCATTAACTGCTGCACCACCCATGGACTCAAAGCAGTCACAGAGCCACAATATTGAAAAGGTGGAGATACAGTCTCCATCAGTCCTAGGGCATCCTCGGAAATACAATCCAGCCTTTATGCCCCTGCTTCCAGAGCATCAGGGGAAATGTAGTCCTTATTCCCCACTGCGGTGCATCAAGAGAGTTCTGGCCATCAGTTTATCTCCAGCAGTTGGTTTCCCACCTTCTGTCCCGGAGCCCCATGGGAAATGCAGACATGCTTCCTTAGAACAACAAAGCAGTCTTGGCCTTTGGAGCTTGGGAAAAGAGACTAGAAGGTTAGTGCTTGGGTGGGTGAGTTGGAAGGTTGCATTTGGGGATCAGAAATAGATGTGGAGGTGTCTTAGGGTGGAAACTCTGATGGAACTGTTTCTGGGGGCCTCAAATGCCTTGGTCCTAAAAAAAAAAAAAAGAACACCCCAAGAAACCAGTTGCTGTCGAGTTGAATCTGACTCATAATGACTCCGTGTGTCAGAGTAGAACTGTGCTCCGTAGTTTTCAATGGCTGATTTTTCAGAAGTAGATTGCCAGGCCTTTCTTCCAAGGTGCCTCTGGGTGGACTCAAATCACCAACCTTTTGATTAGTAAATAAGCACTTAACTGTTTGTGCTACCGAGGGACTGCTGGGTTCTACAACATGACCTCCAATGCCACAAGCCTGTGGAAAGGTGCACCCCCCTCCCCATTCATCCTCCCAAAGACAGATACAATGGAGAAGGGCAGAACTGGCCTTGTTCACTGGTACAAAAATCTTTATTAAGTATAAAATATTAAATAATAAAAATATTAATTCATAATAACAATAGCAGTGACAATATGAATAATAACAACAGCTCTCCCGCTGGCCCGCAGCCTTTTTCCAGCTTTCCTCCTCCGGTTCTCACAACAACTTTGTGACGTGGGCGTTTTGACAGCTGGGGAAACTGAGGCTCAGAGAAGACAGCACACTGGCCTGTGGTCACACAGTAAGTCTGCAAGGCTAGGAGCTGAGGAAATGGCAAAGAGGTCCACTGGATCCAGCCAGCGTAGGGGTGCTTCTGGGTTCAGGTAAAGAGGAGAGTGCCTCCCCACAGTCTTGCGGTCATAAGCAGGGTGATGGTGAGGCTGAGGTGGGTGGGGCCAGGCCCAGGGGCGCCCCCCGCGCGGGCCTGGGCATCCCGGGCTGGGTGGTTACAGCCATTTCCAGAACAGCAAGAAACACTGACATTGGTCAGGCTGAAGGTTTCAGCCACGTGGAGGCCTTGGCACCATGAGGGGGTAGCACAGCCTCTCACTGTGTATCTTGGCTTCCCCAGCCCTGAAGAAAGAGAAGACCGTATGAGAGACTCAGCCTTTCCTTGCCCCTCAGGGAGTCTCCTGAATGTCTCAGGGACTCCCAGTTCTTGAGCCTGGGGCCTGGAACTCTCACTGGGTGACATACCACCCTATGGTGGGAGCCTTTTCCACTGCCCCTGGCAAAAGCGGCAGTTCTCAAAGTGTGGTCCATAACAATGCTAAGACTTTATGTGCCTTTTCCACTCTCATTCTCTCACAAGTGGAGTTTCTACAAACTACAGGACATGTTATATTGCAAGAGACTGAATGCAGAAGCAGCTAGGAGGATCCAGCTGTCTTCTATTAAGCCAGACATCAAAGAGACTTGCAAAACAGTAAAACAACGCCATTCTCCTCAATAAATTTTTTAGTTTTACAAAATATAGTTATTAAAATACATGTATATGTTATTTATCCTAACACATAATGGATTTGTTATTGTTATTTTTAAATGAATTAATAAATGAATCGTTTAATATTTTCTCAGCTTTAATTTCTAATATAGTTAGATAAATATAACCCACATAAACAATGGTTTTTAAGAGTGTAAAGGAGTCTTGAGACCAAAAAGCTTAGGAACCACTGGAGTAGGAAGGAAAGCTTTCCCACAACCTCACAGGATGAAAGCCCGTGATGTCCACAGGAAGTCCCACCCACCTACAGGAAATCCTACCCCCAAGAGGTCCACATTTCTATGGCAGAATATCTATTTCCTAATGAACAATCCTTAATTTCTTACAACAATTTCCACCCTCCTGAGCGACGTCCCACCTCTTCCACAGGAAGAGCCACCTCAACTAAGCCCAGCTTAATTGGAAGTCAACCTCTTGCAGAACACCACCTCCCTTCAATTAGGATCCCCTCCCAGCTCCAAATGGCATTACCATTAGAGCCTGTGGCTTCTAGACATTGAGTCATGGGGCCTCGGCAGGAGATGAGGGAAGTCTCTTCTGCAGAACATCTGTCGGTGCTGTTCCCCTCGCAGCTATAACACTGGAAGCCATTCAGTGTCAAGTTTTTAAGCGTCAGGACTTAGGAGAAGGCAAGAGACACAGAGAGGAGGAAATTAGCATGGAGGGCCCCCTCCTTCGTTGCTTCTAGGTAATGCAAGTACTCCCCAGGACTTACAGTTCTGAACCTGAGATGTCATGGAGCCACCTTGTGGTCAGGCATTGGGATGGCAATTTCTTTTGGGGGCGTTCTCTAGGACTTGTGAGAGAAATCCCAACATCTGTCAACTCCCCATTATCCCCGATCTGACCAGGCAAAATGCCAGGCACTGGGTATGCAGCCATATAAGATGAAACAGTCCCTGCCCTCACAGAGCTTAGAGTTTGGAGCTGCATTGTCAGGTATGGTAGCCAGTAGCCACTAAGCCACACGCGATTGTTTAAATGTAAATTTAAACTTGCTGCTGTTGTTAGTTGTCAACGTCGAGTCGGCTATGACTCATGGTGACCCAATGTACAACAGAACAAACCATTGCTCGGTCCTGTGCCATCTTAATGATTGTTGGCATGTTTGAGTCCATTGTTGTGGCCAACCTAGGGGGTTCATCTTCTAGACTTATATAGGACAATGTTCTGTTGTGGTCCATAGAGTTTTCATTGGCTAATTTCTAGAACCAGATAGCCAAGCCTTTCTTCCTAGTCTTAGTCTGTAAGCGCCACTGAAACCTGTCCAGCATGGGTAACCTCGCTGTTATTTGAGATGCCAGTGGCATAGCTTCCAGAATCATAGCAATACACAAGCCACTACAGTATGACAAACAGAGATGGGTGGTAGAAATGTAAACTAATTAACATTAAATTAAATTTAAAATTCAGTTGTTCATATTTCAAGTGCTGAATAGCTACTTGTGACTAGTAGCTACCATACTGGACAGCGTGGATATAGAACATTTGCATCACTGCAGAAAGTTCTGTTGGACAGTGCTAGTTCAGAGAGACAGAATAACATGAGAACTCTAGGTTGTATTGGGCGAGGAAGGACAGGGAAGGTTTCCCTGAGAACGATATGTTAAAGTTGAGACCTAATGGATGAGAAGTAGCCAGCCAGGTGAACTCTTGGGGAAGACGTGTTCCAGGTGGAGGCTACTGCCCATGCAAAGGCCATGAGGTAGGATGGAGTTTGATGGTTGTCAAGACTAAATGAAGATCATGAGGCAGACAGGTGCCATTACATAGTTCATAGGAAGGCTTTTGGATTTTATTCTAAGAGCGAAGGGGAAGTTATTGAAGTGCTTAAGGCAGGCGAGTGACATGATCTGATTGATCTATTTTTTTAAAAATCACTCTTGCTGCTGTGTTGAGCATCAGCTGTAGAATGGCAGGAGTAGAAGCAGAGAAGCCAGTAAGGAGAGTACTGCAACAATATAGGGGAGAGGTGATGGTGGCTTGGACCAGGGTAGTGGCAGTACAGGTAGGGAGCAGGGGAAGGATTCAAGAGAGATATAGCAGGCAGAAAGCACAGGTCTTAGAGAAGGGTTGATAAATCAAAAAAAACAAAACAAAACAAAAAACAACCAGTTGCCATTGAGTCGATTCCTACTCATGGTTACCCCATGTGTGTCAGAGTAGAACTGTGCTCCACAGGGTTTTCAATGGCTGATTTTTTGGAAGTAAATCACCAGGCCTTTCTTCTAGGGTGCCTCTGGGTGGACTTGAACCACCAACCTTTTGGTTAGCAGCTCAGCGCTTAACCATTTGCACCACCCAGGGACTCCAAAGGATTAATAGTCACACTGAATTCCTTAAAAAAAAATCCCTCTTTGAGGAAGGACTCGATATGCTCATTTTTTAGAGGAGAAAACAGAGACCCAGAGAGAAGCGATTTGCCTCAGAGTGATTATGAGGTGGTCTTTCTGAATGCACCTCCCTACTCCCATCCCGGGCCTCACATTGAGTCCCTTGCTCCTTACTTGGGCCCCCATTGCATTCGGTGGTGTTGCAGCACCTCAGGAAGTGGAAGGTGTAGTTGTTGTGGAAGCCAGTTGGGTCTGGGCAGCCAGGGAGGTAGCCACAGCCGCGGGAGTGGCGCTCATCCTTTAGACTTGCTGTAGGGGGCAGAGGAAAGAGGCTAGATTGTTGGTGAGGAACTAAGACTGGATTTGTCTACCCCTGGTAGTCATTCATCTATTCTCTGCTTACCCTTCCACTTGGGGAATCCATACATCCAGCCCAAAGACTACATTTTCCTGCCTCCCTTGCAGCTAGGTAGGTCTTATGACTAAGTTCTGCCCAATGTGATGTAAGTAGAAGTGATTTAAGGGGACCTCTTATTAAAAAGCTGTGCCCTTTTTGCCCCATCTTTTCCCTTTCCTTCTTCCTGGAACTTGGACATAAAGTCTGGAGCTCCAGCAGCCATACTGGACCATAATCTGTTGCTGTCGAGTCAATTCCAATTTACAGCGACCCTATAGGACAGAGTAGAACTGCTTGTCATGATTGAATTGTGTCCCACAAAAATATGTGTCAACTTGGCTAGGCCAAGATTCCCAGTATTGTGTGATTGTCCACTATTTTGTCATCTGATGTGATTTTCCTGTGTACTGTAAATCCTACCTCTATGATGTTAATGAGGCAGGATTAGAGGTAGTTATGTTAATGAGGCCGGACTCAATCTACAGGATTAGGTTGTGTTTTAAGCCAATCTCTTTCGAGATATAAAAGAGAGAGGTGAGCAGAGAGACAGAGGGACCTCATACCAACAAGAAAGAAGCACCGGGACCATACCGTGTCCTTTGTACCCAGGATCCCTGCACTGAGGAGCTCCTTGACCAAGGGAAGATTGATGACAAGGACCTTTCCCCAGAGCCTACAGAGAGAGAAAGCCCTTCCCTGGAGCTGGCATCCTGAATTTGGACTTCTAGCCTCCTAGACTATGAGAGAATAAATTTCTGTTTGTTAAAGCCATCCACCTGTGGTATTTCTGTTATAGCAGCACTAGATGACTAAGACACTGCCCCATAGGGTTTTCAAGGAGCGGCTGGTGGATTTGAACTGCCAACATTTTGGTTGGCCATCAAATGCTTAACCACTATGCCACCAGGGCCTCATATTGACCATAAGGCAATCTTAAGAATGGAAGACATTTGGGTTCCTGGTGACTGGGGAACTATCCTAGCAGTTCTGGACTTCTTACCTCTGGACTTTTTGTGTATGAGAGAACTAAACTTTCTGCCTCATTTAAATCACTTAAACCTTGTTTAAATCACTGTTATCTTCGGGGTTGTTAAGTGCAGCCTCGGGAAGGAGTAATGCAGGGGAAAGGAGTTGCTGGTGGGTTGGGGCTCACATTCCAGGCTCCGGTGGGTCACCACCTCCAGGCACTGTTCTCCAGGGTTGCGGCATTGCAGGCTGTGACCCCGACCCCTCTCACAGCTCATGTCTGATGAGGCACAGGAAGCACATTCGAGATAATGCCTTTGGGGGAAGGTGAAAATCCGCCCTGGTTGGAGAGAAGTAGGAGGGTGAGACTCCATGTGGAGAGTCGTGGAGATCCAGCTCACTCAAGGACTTATCTCAGCGTCAGTTCCTCCTTATCTAATCCTTCAGCAATCTCCAAGCCCTGCCCATTCTACCGCCCAAAGTTTTCTGGAATCCATCCCCTCTTTTCCAGCCCCATGGCCACATCCAGCTCGGACCTCCTCTCCATTTCCAGTGTTGCCCCTGCCCCCCCGTGCATCCCCACAGGGCCCTACAAGGATATTTCTTTTTAATTGTACTTCAGGTGAAAGTTTACAGCTCAAGTTAATCTCTCATTCAAAAGTTTACATACATATTGTCATATGACACTAGTTGCAATCCCTACAATGTGACAGCACACTCCCCCTTTCCACCCTGGGTTTCCCATGTCCATACAACCAGCCCCCGTCCCTTTCTGCCTTCTCATCCTGCCTCCGGATAGGAGCCACCCATTTCGTCTCATGTATCTGCTTGAACTAAGAAGTACACTCTTCATGAGTATTATTTTATGTTTTATAGTCCAGTCTAATCTTTGTCTGAAGAGTGGTTTTCGGGAATGCTTTTAGTTCTGGGTGATCAGAGCATCCGGGGTCCATGGCTTCAGGGGTCCCTCCAGTCTCAGTCAGACCATTAAGTCTGGTCTTTTTGCGTGAATTTGAGTTCTGTTCACTTTTCTCCTACTCCATCAGGGACTCTCTGTTGCATTCCCTGTCAGGGTGGTCATTGGTAGTAGCCCTAGAGGGATATTTCTAACACCCAGATCTGACCCTGTCTTTCCTCTGCTCATGGCTCCCCATTGTCCTCAGAATAAAATCCAAGCTCCTCAGTGTGGCATTCAAGGCTTATCAAAGACTGGCCATCTGTATTCATCTCTCATGACTATCCCTTTAGACTCTTTGTTCCACACTGACTTCCCATCAAAACACCAAACTCATTGCCATTGAGTTGATTCTGACTTATGATGACCCCATATGTTACAGAGTAGAACTTCTCCGTAGGGTTTCCTTGGCTGTAATCTTTATGGAAGCAGATTTCCAGACCTTTCTTTCATGGCACCATTGGGTGGGTTCCAACCACCAGTCTTCAGGTGAGTAGTTGAGCACGAACTTTGCACCACTTAGGGACCCTTGACTTCCCACAGTCCCTGAATATGCATGCTGACTTGTATCCAGACCTTTGCATATGTTGTTGACTTTGCTTAGAACACCTTTCCTTTGCTTTCCCTAATTTCTACTGATTCTTCAGGTGTCAGTTCTGATTTTACCTCCTCCACGAAGCCCTCCCTGACCTCCTGGGCTGCATCAGGTATCTCCTCTGGGCTCTCACAGCTCCTTGGGTTCCTCCATCCCAGCTCTGCCCACTCTGGGTCTTCACTGTCTGGTGACAGACGTCTTCTCTCCCACTGAACTGTGAGGGCAGGACTAGGGCTGTCTCTGTCACCACTGTGTCCCAGCACCACAGAGCACAGTATCAAGGCCAGAGAAGATATTCAATAGATATTTGTCAAAGAATGAATGAATGAATGGACAAATGTTTAAAACACTTCTCTTGCCCCTGTGGTAGCCAGCCTCCAAGATGGCCCCCAATGATCCCTGCCTTCTGGTATCCATCCATTGTGTAGTCCCTTCCCATAAAGAATAGGAGTGACCTGTGTAACCAATAGGATACTGTAGAAATGGCTGTGTGTGACTGCTCTGGCTAGATCATAAAAGACATTGCAACTTCTGCCCAGCTCTCCCGTGGATCACTTACTCTAGGGGAAGCCAGCCGCCATGTTGTAAGGACACGCAAGCAGTCTGATGGCGAGGTCCAGATGGCAAGGAACTGATGCCTCTGCCCAAGCCATGGGAGTGAATCAGCCATGTGAGTGAAGCTACTTTGGGAGCCTTCAGATGAGTGCATGCTTGGCTGACATTTTGACTGCAACCTCACGGAAGATCCTGTGCCAAAACCACCTAGCTAAGCCACTCCTGGATTCTTGACCTTTAGAAACATTGTGAAATAATAAATGTTTATTTTTGTTTTAAGTTTTGGGACAATCTGTAATGTAGCAATAGATAACTAACACACTATTTAATTGTCTCAGGGATCAAAGCCTCACGTTGTTGATCCCTGGTAACTTTGTCTCTCGGTGGATCAGTTACTTCTCCCTGTAAACACTCTTCCTCTGCTCATGCCTTTGCTCACACCATTTTCCATGCCTGGCATGCCCTCCCCTTCCTGACTGCAGATATACAAGTTGAGTTTGAGCCAAGTCTTAGAAAAGTGAAAGGGCTGCCTCAGCCAAGGTTCTCAAATGGCATGCCAGCAGCCATAATTAGGTGAATCATTTCCATCCAAAGTTTAATTCTCCCTTCAAAGAAAACTACAAGGCCAATACCCATGTCTTCTCACGTGAACTTCCTTGAAAATGAAAACATGAATTGCCGACACTGTCAAAAGTAGCAAACTCGCATGACTTATGGGTCTCCTTTGTGAACTCTTCTTATGTTGCGCTTCTAAATGCAACCGATCCTCAGGGTTCTGCCTTAGCCCCTTTTTATTTCTCATGATACATACTCTCTCCTTTGAGGATGTTATCCTTTGACATGGCTTCATTTCCACCAATATGCTGGTCACTCACAAATCTCTCTTCAGTTCAGACTCTTTCTGAGCTTCAGACCTGTATACCCAACTGCCTCCTGGATGCTCCCTGGCTCTCTCTCAAACACCTGAATATCTACATGCCCCAAACTAAAATCTCCATCTTCTCCCCAGACCTGCTCCTTCTCCTGAATCCCAGGTATCTCAGGCGGCCCCATTTAGTCCCCTGGGACAGAAACCTGGCAATGCCCCTTGACCCTCCACATCTATGCATCAATCTGGCTACTTCTACTGACCTGTCTTCTAGTTCTTTAATCCTTTTGTTCTGCTGTTTATAATCTGCTGTTAAGCATGTCTATTGAGTTCTCAATTTCAACCATTGTTTTATATTTTTTGTTTGACTCTTTTAGATTCCAGATCTGTGGTATAATTTATCCTCTCCTCTATATTCTTAAACATATTGATCATAGCCATTTTAAAGTTCCGTTTGATTACTCCAGTATCTGAATCACTACAAGTCTTTCTATTATTGGCTTTTCTCTTGGTTTCCAGTCAATTGGTCCTTTTTATTTTCTTCAGCATACCTTATAAATATTGATTAGATGGCAAACACTATAGATTAAAATTTTCAAAAGGCTCTAAATGATGTTATCTTCTCCAAAGAGGGTTAGGTTTTCTTCTTATCAAGGGTTGGCTATAGGCTTTTTTAAGAAGCCCTGGTGGTGCAACAGTTAAGTACTCAGCCGCTAACTGAAAGGTTGGTGGTTTGAACCCACTCAGTGGCTGTGTGGGAGAAAGACCTCGTAATCCGCTCCTGTAAATATTACAACCTAGAAAACCCTATGGGGCAGCTCTACTCTGTCACATGGGGTCGTCATGAGTTGAAATTGACTCGATGGGACACAACAACATAGGCTTTTAGGATTGATCTATTTCAGTTTTGCCCTTAATCCTAGGGTATGATCTCAGATGAAACCCTGAGGTGGTTACCAGGGCCTCTCCAAGTTGGCAACCTGTCTTCCTAGCATCACATATCTGCTGAAATCCTTGCTCAGCTCTGCAGCTCCCTAGCTACTATTTTCTGCTGAGTTTCTTGGAGTCTCATCCTACACACGTACAACTTGCCAATGACTTGAGGGAAATTTGTATGAAGATTTGGAGGTTTCCTTCTCCGTAGGTCCCATCCATTTTAGGACTTTACCTCTCAATTTCCAGACACTCTGGCAGTCCCAAACTCCAATTTCTGTCTAGTCCAGTGACTGTTTTTCTGTTTGGGCTCTATTTCCCTCCCGCTGCGGTGGACTGGAACATGTACTTGGGGAAAAGCCAGGTTGACTGTGGAATTCAACTTCTGTGCTGCCCTAATTTAAAACCTTGTGGTGCCTCAAGTTACTGCCTGTATCTGCTACTCTCCAATAACTTCAAACAGTTGTTTATAATTTCTACTTTTATAATTATAGTTTTTATAGTTGTCACTGGCAGGAGGGTTGTGTTGTTTTTGTCAGGTGCCGTTGTGTCGGTTCCTACTCATAGCGACCCTCTGTACAACAGAACGAAACACTGCCCGGTCCTGCGCCATGCTCACAATCGTTGTTATGCTTCAGCCCATTGTTGCAGCCACTGTGTCAATCCATCTTGTTGAGGGTCTTCGTCTTTTTCGCTGGCCCTCTACTTTACCAAGCATGATGTCCTTCTCCAGGGACTGATCCCTCCTGATAACATGTCCAAAGTATGTGAGACATAGTCTCGCCATCCTTGCTTCTGAGGAGCATTCTGGTTGTACTTCTTCCAAGACAGATTTCTTCGTTCTTTTGGCAGTCCATGGTGTATTCAATATTCTTCACCAACACCACAACTCAAGGAGTCAATTCTTCTTTGGTTTGCCTTATTTATCGTCCAGCTTTCGCATGCATATGAGACAACTGAAAACATCATGGCTTGCGTCAAGTGCACCTTAGTCTTCAAGGTGACATCTTCCCTTTTCAATACTTTAAAGAGGTATTTTGCAGCAGATTTTCCCAATGCAATGCCTCTTTTGATTTCTTGACTGCTGTTTCCACAGGTGTTGATTGTGGATCCAAGTAAAATGAAATCCTTGATAACTTCAATCTTTTCTCCATTTATCATGATATTGCTTATTGGTCCAGTTGTGAGGATTTTTGTTTTCTTTATGTTGAGGTGTAATCCATACTGAAGGCTGTGGTCTCTGATCTTCATCAGTAAGTGCTTCAAGTCATCTTCACTTTCAGCAAGCAAGGTTGTGTCATCTGCACATCGCAGGTTATTAATGAGTCTTCCTCCAATCCTGATGCCCCATTCTTCTTAGTCTGATAGAAGTGACTCCATCATGACTAGAGCAAGACGTCCACCCCAACATCTAATCCATCACTAAGGCCTGCCCATCTACCTGCTAAATAGCTCTTAAATCTATCCACCTCTTTCCATTTGCATGGCTGACACCCTAGTCCAGCCACGCTCTACTTTATCTGGACAACTGCACCCACTTCCAAGTTGGTCTCCCTTCATCCACCCTTGCTTCCCTCCAATCCGTCTTTTACCCTGAGGTCAGAATATTTTTTAAAAAATATAGATCTGATTGTGATACTCCCCTGCTTAAAACCTTTCCATGACCCCCCTCCCATTATCCCCAAGATGAGGTCTATATTCCTCACCACAGCCTAGAAGGCCCTGTGTGATATGACCCTGCCAATTTCACCAGCATGTCTTTCCCCATTTTTTCCTTCCTCCAGCCATACCACTTTCACTCACCCCTGGGCCTCTGTATCTGTTACTCCTGTCTATAAAACCCCTTTCCATTGTTTTTTCTGACAGTCTGACTCTTACTCATCCCTCAAGATCTGTCATCTCCGGGGTCCCACAGTCCTTACTCTACACCCATACCAGCCCTAACCATTCTGGCCTGTGCTTCCCCATCCTAGCTCTGACCCATCTGGTGTCTGCTTCCCCCATCATGGTGCCAAACACTTTGGGCTATGGTTCCTCCATCTCAGTCCTGACCCCTCTACCGATGCCTCCCCCACCCTCGCCCCGACTCCTCTGCCCATGCCTCACCCATCCCCTTGACCCCTCTGCTTGTGCCCCCCATCTTAACCCCCACCAATCTGGGCAGTCACTATCTGGTGATGGGTCTGTCACCCTTCCTATACACACTGGACTATGAACCCCACGAGGGCAGGATCTGAGGCTATCTTGTTCACTGCTGTGTTCCCCACATCACGTAAGTACAGGGTATGGTTAAATCATCTATTCAGGTAGCCACAATCAGGGTAAGACAGTATTAGAAACAGGACAGTTTACCTTAACTAGAAAAGAATGTCTGCCTTGAGCATTCTGCTCTTTAAGATCTATCTACATGGAATCAAAGTGACAACAGCAACTCGAAAGATTAGATAGGAACCTTAGTGGGCAGTGAGTTTATGTTGATGGGGGAGGAACAACTTGGAAAAGGAGGATGAGAATACTTGCCCAACTCAAAGAGTGTAATCACTGTCACTGAACTGTACATGTAGAAACGGGAATTGGTGTATGTTTTTGCTCTGTATATTCTCAATAACAACAACAAAAAAGAACATGGATTATTTAAATAAATAAATAAGAAAGAGATGGGGCTTTTTAACCAGTTGTTAAATTACTGAATTGAGACCACAACTCCCACGGCCTCCACCAGACTGAGTCCAGCACAACTAGATGGTGCCCGGCTACCACCACCCACTGCTCTGACAGGGACCACAACAGAGGGTCCAGGACAGAGCTGGAGAAAAATGTAGAACAAAATTCTAACTCACAAAAAAAGACCAGACTTATTGGTCTGATAGAGACTAGAGAAACCCTGAGAGTATGGCTCAGACACCCTTTTAACTCAGTACTGAAGTCACTCCTGAGGTTCACCCTTCAGCCAAAGATTAGACAGCCCCATAGAACAAAACAAGACTAAATGGGCACACCAACCCAGGGGCAAGGACTAGAAGGATGGAGGGGACAGGAAAGCTGGTAATGAGGACCCCAAGGTCGAGAAGGGAGGAGAGTTGACATGTCGTGGGGTTGGCAACTGATGTCACAAAAGATGTGTATTAATAGTTTAATGAGAAACTAATTTGCTTTGTAAACTTTCATCTAAAGCACAATAAAAAAATAAACAAATAAAACAAATAAATCACTGAATTGACAGCCGCTGCCCGGAGCTTCCTGGTGGACCCTGACTACTTAAAACTCTCCCCTTAGATCCCTCAAGTCTCCATGTTCTATCAGCTAAAGGGTTAACACCAGGCCCAGCAGGGGGGCCTCCCGGAGTCCTTCCTGATTGGTCAGGAGGCATTGACCTATGTTGTTAAATATTTTGAATATCATCTTTGATTAGAAGAATTACTTAGACGCAAGTATTAGTTCTTTCCTTAAGCACATGTAACCAAGAGAGGAAGCCAGCATCCTCTCTCTTGTCACTTCCTTGAAAATTAACATCTGACCCAGTCTCTCAGCAGATTAAAGTCTGGGGTCAGGATGAATGAAAAGCAAGAAAACACCAGCACAAATGCTGGTGCCCTGGCTCACTGACGTCACTGTGGCCGGACCAGCCTCAACTGATTTTCTTCCTCACCAGAGCTGGAAGGAGAAATCTCTGCTGGGCTGTTCAGCATGGGTCTATTCCTGGCCCACTCTTCCTCTTTGGTGGGAATTTGGGGAATTTGACCCTCTCTAAGTCTTTTTAGAGCCCCTGGGTGGCGCAAATAGTTAAGCACTTGACTACTAGCCAAAAGGTTGGAGGCTGGAACTCACCCAGAGGTGAGACGCTTCCTCTACCTGGAGAGAGGGTGTGTGCATGGGAGTGTCTAATGGCTGCTGTTGCATCTTAAATATGAACCCAAAAACCAAATGCCGTCGAGTTGAATCTGACTTCTAGTGACACTATAGGACAGAGTAGAACTGCCCCACAGGGTTTCCAAGACTGTAAATCTTTACAGAAGCAGACTGCCACATCTTTCACCCACGTAGAGGCTGGTGGGCTGACATTTCGGTTAGCAGTCAAGACTAAACACTGTGCCATCAGTGCTCCTTCATCTTATATATAACAACCAAAAACATAAACATGTGCAGAATGGGGATAGGGTTAGGGATGGGAATGAGGTTGGGGAAGAGTATGTAACTGGGGGTAGGAGCGGGACAGTTTGAGATAAGGATGGGTTGAATTGTGGATGGGGTTAGGGATGTGTTTGGAATAGGATGGGATTGAGTTGGAGACAGTGTTGGGGTAAAATGAAGTTGGGGATGGGACTGGAGATGAGATTGGGTTGAAGTTTGGGATAAGGTTGGGGACAGGGTGGAGAATGAGCTAGAGGTGAGATCGGGTTGGGGTTGAGGATAGGGTCGAGAATGAGTTGGAGGCAAGACTGGGTTGGGGATAGGAATGGGTTGGGGATAGGTTTGAGAATGAGTTGGAGACGAGTTTGAGTTGGGGTTGGGGATAGGGATAGGATCGGGAATGAGTTGGGGATAGGACTGAGCTAGAGATTGGTCTGAGTATGTATCTGAGATAAGAATGGGTTTGAGTTGGGGTTGGTACTGGGGTAAGGCAGGGAGTAGGGTGGAATTGGGATAGGATTGGGGTAACAAAGCAGTTGATCTGGGCTTGGGGATGATTTGGGGTTGGGGATGGCGAGGGTTGCCCTACTCACCAGGCTTAGGCTTGTTGCACAAATCTGATGCACATATGGCCTCTGTAAGGGTGATGATCTGTGAACCTGTTCGGTAGCTCATGGTTCTGTTGGTCTTCTCTGGGTGGGCGCATCCCCTCTCCACCTTCTCCAGCTCTTCTTCACCCACTGTGAGGAATATGTCTTTGTCACCTCGAAGCCTCCCCTGGGCCCAGGCAGCTTCTGACACTTTCAGGGCTAATCCCTGTCAGGCCTCTCTTCTTGTTTGGGTACAACTCTGTCTTTCCAGAGTTATCTACCAACCCAACCCCAACACACTGGAAATCTATACCTTCTCAGTGACAACAGTGTCACTGGGAGATTCTGGATCCATCTACACCCCTAGCTTAGTGATCTCAGCAGGGAGATGCCTCTAGTAGGAATTTTTAAAGTGAAATACTTCAAACTTACCAAAAAGTATAAGAGAATGATATAATAAATATTTATGTATTCATCACCTAACTTTGTAATGTATTAGCATTTTGCTATGTTTGTTTCAGATAATTTTTTAGAAGAAAGAAAATATTACAGATACAGCTAAAGCCCCCTGTGTGTCCCTCCTTTCATGCCCTGTTCAGAGGCAACCACTGGTGTAAATCTTATTCTGTGTATGGATAACAATGTATGCTATGGTTTTACATGTTTTCAACTTTATGTAAAAAAGCATCATATTCTGCAACATATTTTTCTTTATCTCAACCCTATTCTTGAAATATATTCATGCTGATACATGCAGAATTCTCCCTCCTTCACTTAAATTACTGCATAAACCAAAAAACCAAACCCATTGCTGTTGAGTCAATTTCAACTCATGGCAACCCCATGTTTTTCAGAGTAGAACTGCTCCAAAGGGTTTTCTTGGCTGTAATCTTACGGAAGCAGATTGCCAAGCTTTTCTTCCACTGTGCCGTTGGGTGGGTTTGAACCACTAACCTTTTGGTTAGCAGTCGAGCACAGTTTGTGCCACCCAGGGACCTTCAACTACTGCATAGCATTCTGTTATGTGACTATGCCATAATATTTGTCTTTTGTTGCTGACAGACTTTTGGTTGTTTTCAAGTTTCCCAACATTCCCAAGCATCTTGCTAAGAACATTCCTATACATGTGTCCCTGGGCACATGTGGCCAAGGTTCTTGGGAGTTTCTATATTCCTAGGTGTTGAACTGCTGGCTGTAGGGTAAGCTAATCTTGATCTGTAGTGGATATTGTCAAATTGCTTTGTGCGCTGGATGCACCAATTTACTCCCCTACCAGTGGGGTCTGTGCTCGGCATTCTCACCAGCCCGGGTATTGCCAGATGGTTAAATGCTTGCCAATCTGGTGGGTGTGAAATGGGGTGTCTTTGTGAGCTTTCTTTGCATTTCCCTGATTAGTGGTGAATGAGGTGCCTTGGTCACTCGCGTCCCCGCTCGCGCTGGAGTAGGGGAGCTCACCTTCCCATATGCGCAGAACCGTGGTCCTGCAGAGGTTCTCGCCGAGGGGGCACTCGCCCACTCGGCAATGCCCATTCGTCTCACACAGCATGCACCGCAGGCCCCAGGAGACTGCAAGTGGGGGGAGAGAGGAAGAAGGAGGCGAGGCTGTTACATGCTCGGCGCCAGGATTCCCTTCTCGTCCCGCATTCCCCAATACCAGGACCCAGTCTCCTGGCCTAGTCCACTCAGTTTGGTTCGCGCTTCGTGCTTCGGGTTCTGCCCTCCCCTCGGTTTCAACGCTGCCTTCCAGCCGCGCTTCTGTCTAGCCCAACCTTCTATCTCTGCCCACAAGCCTTCCCCTGAAGTCCTGCTCTCTGCAGTTTCCCCTTTAATTTTGTCCTCCCTCAGTCTTGCTGAATCCTATCCCTGCCCTCTCTGTCGGTCTGGACGTTATAGTTCTGCTCCCATGTAGGTCCTTTCCCACACCCAGCCAGCTTTCCCTAGGGGATTTTATGCTCACCCCACCCCATCTTTCTGTTCTACTCCGGGCTACTCCTGCCCTAATGTAACTATCCCTACCCAGTAGAGCCCCAGGTTCTGTTGTTGGGTGCCCTCTGGTCGATTTGGACCCCTAGCTCCCCCATGTGACAGAGTAGAACTACCTCACAGGGTTTCCTAGGCTGTAATTTCTACCGAGCAAATCGCCAGGTCTCTCTCCCATGGAGCCGCTGGGTGGGTTAGCAGACAATCGCTTAAACCCCCATGTTCTAGGCCCACTCAGTAGCCCCTCCTCAAGGTTCTCTCCCCACCCACCAGTCCTTCCCGAAATTCTAGCTCCGCCCTCCAGCTCCTTCCCGAGATTCTAACCCCACCCTCTGTCCGGCCCCAACTTTCTCTCCCGGCCCACCAAATCCATAGCCACGCAAGCGATTCCGACTCAGTGACCCTATAGGACTAAGTAGAACGGCCCTATATGGTTTCCAAAGAGAGACTGGTGGACTTGCACTGCCGATCTTTTGGTTAGCAGCTGAGCTCTTAACCACTGCACCAATAAGGCTCCCGCCCGCTTACAGTCCATCCCAAAGTTTTAGCCCCCCCTCCCCCCAGCTCCTCCTGGAGGTTCTAACCCCACCCACCACCTTTCCCTATCTTCTAGCCCCGCCCCTAGCCCTGTGCCAACTCTAGCCCAGCCCACCAGGCCTCCGCAGACCTCTTTTCGCAGCGGACACTGGAGTTGTCCCGGGTGACTCATTCTCGGCCCCCCGCGGTGCTGAGAGCTTCTCGGGTTATTCATCTACATCCCAGGCCCCACCTCGCGCCCGCCCGCTCCACGCTGGCTCAGTTCCTTCTCAATTTCCTTTAGTTTCTCAACCCATTTCCCCACTTTTTCCGGGGGAAGCAGGTGAGAGGGTTCCGTTGGCGAGCGGGTAGTGAAAGGGAAAGATTCTCGAGGGACAAGCCCTGGGTCCCCATTCCCTAGCTCTGCTACGATCTGCCTGCCTCTCTCTGCACTGTCTGTAAAATGAGGTGCGGCCCTCTGTCTCTCCGAGAGGAGATCCGACAGAGTGGAGAGCGCTCTGGGCTCCACTGAGGGGTCAGAATCCCACTTATTCAAGGACTGGCTGTGTGACCTGGGGCCAGTTAAGTAGCCTCTCCGTGCCTCAGTTTCCTCCTCTGTGAAACGGAGTCCCTCCTGCCCAGTTTGAAACTGTAAGGAGCCTGGCATAAAGAGAGCGCGCGCTAAACGGTGGCTGTGGGTAAACGCCTTTGCTCAGCGAATTCTTTCCTGAGCACCTACAGTATGCCTGGCACTGAGCCTTGTGAGGCTGTGCGAGAATGATTATCATCTGGGTGGGGAGCTGCGGACTGAGTCCCCCGCCCCAGTCCTTCAGACCCGGATTCCCAACCCACCCCCATCAGACCCCAGAGCAGGAGTCTGGGCGCCCAGCCCTACCTGGGAGGCAGGTGTGAGCGAGCAGCAGCAGCAGCAGCAGCGGACGAGCCATGACTGGCAGGCGGCTCCTACAGGCCGCCGCCCTGCCCCGCTCCTCTCAGTCTGGCCCTGAGGAAGGCGACAGTTTTGTAGCCACGAGGGCTCCTCCCAAACGTTTTGCGAAAGAGCGAGTCAGCTCCACATGCGTGGGCGTTTCCCCCTCCACCTTCACAGCCCCCCTCCCCCAAAACTTCCCTTCCTGGGGCGTGGCCAGCCCTGGGCGGAGAGGAGGGAGTAGGGGGCTGAGTCATGTGGCGGTGGTCACAGTCTGTCCCCAGACTGCCTGTACACAAATCCCAGTTCTTTCTCTTCCTGCAGTTGTACCTTGGACAAGAGACTTCGTCCCTCAGTTTCCTCATCTGTAAAACGTAGACAGAATCTTCTTCCAGCGGGAAATTTCAATGCAGAGTGATTGTTAGATAATACTAGGATTTTTGTTAGTTTTGTTAGGAAGGATAATGGTATTGTGGGAAAGTGTTCTTATCATTTAGAGAAGCACGCTGAAATATTGGGAAATGAAATAACGTAATGTCTATAATTTACCTTCAAATATTAAAGTCAAAAGAAGAAAAGTTGATATTGCTGTTGGGAAAACGGTTTTGTGGCTATGTGGGAAAATGTTCTCATTTTCTATAGATGCCCACTGAAGTGTTTAGGGGCGAATGCCATTGATGCCTATAATTACTTTAAAATACTGGAGGGGGAGGAATAAGGGCAAATGATAAAATATTAACATCAATTATATCAAGGTAGCAGGCATACGGAGGCTCATTATACGATTCTGTCCCCTCTCTGTGTTTTTGACAATGTTCATAACAAGTGAGAAAAAAGAAAGCAAAACAAAAATGTAGTCTCCGTGTCTTAAGACACATCTGACCAATTAGATCAATTTAACACTGGTGAAATGCTGGAATAGTTACTAGCCCACACAGAGGGCTCAATAGATTCCTTCAACAATTAATTATTTACTGAACACCTACTATGTGCCAGGAGCCCTGGTGGCACAGTGGTTAAGAGCTCAGCTGCTTACCAGCTGCTCCTTGGAATCCCTATGGGGCAGTTCTGCTCTGTTCTATAGAGTCACTATGAGTCAGAATTGACTCAAAGGTGACAGGTTTACTCTGCGCCTGGCACTGGTCCAGGAGCTAGGGACATAGCAGGAAACAAAGCAAAGTCCCTGCCTTTGTGGCACTGACAGTGGGTTGGGGAGCAGATATACGTCACCTAATTTATCAATACCAGGCAGCGTTAAGCAAAATGGAGAAAAACCAAGTGTGTTGAGGGAAGTACGAAGGGTACGAGCGAGGCATGTGCCGTTTTGGGTTGGGTGATGGGGTGGGCTTTTCCAAGTAGGTGGCATTTGAGCAGAGACTGAATGCAGCCATGAAGAAGGAAGAAGTTGGGCAAATTTGTACAGGAAGAGGTCCCAGGGGGAGAGAACAGCCAGTGCAAAGGCCCTGAGGTGAAAGCATACCCGATGATATCTAGGAACAGCAGAGAGGCCGGTGTGGCTAGAACAGAGTAGGGGAGGGAAAGAGTAGTAGGCCATGAATAAGTGCTAACTACCACTCCCAATAAGGAGCCCTGGTGGCACAGTGGTTAAGCGCCCAGCTGCTAACTGTAAGGTCAGTGGTTTGTGAACTCACCAGCAACTCCTCAGGAGAAAGACCTGGCAGTCTGCTTCTGTAACGATTACCCTTGGAAACCCTATGGGGCAGCTCTACTCTGTCCTATAGGGTCACTGTGAGTCAGAATCAACTTGATGGCAAGGGGTTTGGTTTGGTTTTTTGGACCATTCCCAATACTACTATAAAAGGATTATACTATTGTTATTAAATCATTGGAGCCTTAAGCTAGTAATTCTAAGATAAGATAAATCCCAAAGAAATCCTCTCTCCTAAGAGACGGTATAGCCTAGGGGTTAAGAGCGTGGGAGCTGGCACCAGGCTCTGTGGATTCAAATGAGAGCCATTTACTACCCACGGGGACACAGGCAGATGACTTAACCAGCCTGGGCCTCAAGTTCCTTATCTGGAAAATAGAGATAGCAAGTCAGTGGAGGTGAAAAGAAGGTACAGAGGCTCTTGCCACAGTGCCTGGAACCGCATACGTGCGCAATAAAAGTGGTTAGTAAGGTTCCTTTAGTCTCTGGTTCTCTGTTTCCTTGCAATGGGAAGGAACTGGAAATGCGTCATTGAGTCTGAGGTCAGCAGCTGTCATGCTCACGATGCAAAAGTGGATTGCTTTATGGCTGGGTCACTCTGGACCAATAAATGTCCTCTTTTCTGAGCTTCAGTTCCTCATCTGGACAATGGAGCCCCTCTCTGGGCTGGCTTGAAGTCCGAATGAGGTATTAATGTATATGAAGTGGGGAAATAGAAAGTTGGGGAGTTGATTCAAGAGAGCTTGAGACCCAGCTCAGCCACTTGCTCCTCTGTGACCCTGAGCAGGCGGCTTCACTCCACGGATCCTTGGTTTTCTCACCTGTAAAGTGGGTCTGGGGTGGATGGGAGGCATCTCTCAGTGAAAGGAAACCTCAGGTTTGGGGTTCACACAGAGCTGTGTGGTCTGGCGCTACCACTTCCTGGCGGGGTGACCTCACTGTTCTGGGCCATAATTTCCTCTTTTATTTAAAGAATAAGGGAGAATAATATCTTGAAGCCCACTCACCCCCACCCCAGACTGCTCTGGTCTCCCAGACTTTCTGTCTATCTCTAGCTGCGTCTCTCCCTTTCTGTGTCTCTCTGTCTCTGTCTTTTTCTGTTTCTCTATTTCTTTTTTTTCCCTTCGTCTCTGTCTCTTTAGCTCTCTATCTTCCTCTCTCTGTGTCTTTGTATCTGTTTTTCTGTCTCTTTGTCTCTTTCTAACTCACTGTCTCTGCTTCTCTCTGTTCTCTGTCTCGGTTTTTTTTTTTTCTGTCTGTGTCCATGCCCACCCATCTCTTTCTGTCTTTGCCTGTCTCTTTCTCTTTTTGTTCTTTCCTCATGTGACACATGCCAGTGAGGTCCTGTGATGTGACGTGTTAAGGGAGCGGGCAGGCAGGAGTCAGGGCTGTATGCAATTCCAAGAAGAGCTGCAGGAACGGCTGCTTCTTCCTCCCTGTGATTCACCTGGGCCTCACCCAGCTCCTGCCTGCTTGCTGGGCCTTGGGTGGGGCCCACACGTTTCAGGGACTTCCTCGCTGTGAAGGAGAGAAGAATTCCATGTCAGGACAGAGAGACTGAGAGCGACAGACGCAAAGCAGGGGAGAGACAGCAAGAAAGACAGAGAAACCGACAGAAAGACGAGCCAAAGGCACAGAGTTGTGGTGGGGACAGAGAGAAAAAGAGAGACAGAGAGAGAGTGAGACCAACAGACAGACTGATTCAGGGTAATCAGAGAAGGAGAGGCAAAGAGAGTAGAAAGTGAGAGACAAGAACAGAGATAGTGGGGGAAAAAAAGAACAGACAGTGAGAAATAACAAAACAAAACAAAAATCCCAAACCCGTTGCTGTTGAGTTGATCCTGACTCATGGCAACCCCGTGTGTTACAGGGTAGAACTGAACTTCATAGGGTTTTCTTGGCTGTAATCTTTACAGAGGCAGGTGACGAGGCCTTTCTTCCGCAGTGCCGCAAAAGTCGGAATCGACTCGGTGGCAACTGGTGGTTATTAATCCCTGGAACTTATGCATGTTACTTTATATGGAAAAAAGAGATTGTTACAGATATGATGAAGTGAAGGATCTTGAGATGGGTTCAAACTGCCAACCTTTAGGTTAGCAGTTGAGTGCAAACTGTGAACTACCCAGTGAGAAATAAACCAAAAAAACAAAAAACCCATCGCCGTTGAGTTGATTCTGACTCCTAGCAACACTATAAGAAAAAGTAGAACTGCCCCACAGGGTTTCGAAGGCTGCAATCTTTACAGAATCAGACTGTCACACGTCTCTTCTATGGAGCAGCTGGTGGATTCAAACCGATGACCTTTCAGTTAGCAGCCGAATGCTTTAACCACTGTGCCACGTGGTTCCCCATCAATGAGAAATAAGGGAACAGAAAGGGAGAGAGAGACTGAGATCAATGAGGGAGCTAGAGAGAACGACACCCAGTTTGCCTTCAGAGAGAGACACAGAGACATGGTGTCGTGGATTGAATTGTGTCCCCCCAAAAGATGTATCAGCTTGGCTAGGATCCTCCATTCTGTGATCCGATGTAATTATCCTATTATCCTCCATTTTGTGTGTCGTAAATCCTGACCTCTATGAGTTAATGAGGCAGGATTAGGGTGGGATGTATCTTGAGTCACCATCCTTCACTGCCCTTACTCAAGCCAGACCCTTACAAGAGATAAAAGAGAGAAGCAAGCAGAGAGAGGGACCTCAATACCACCAGGAAGAAGAGACAGGAACAGAGTGCGTCCTTTGGACCTGGGGTCCCTACACTGAGAACCTCCTAGAACCAGGAGACACACAGAGAGAGCTGTAACAGCGGAGATGGCACAAGGTGGGGGAAAAGTGACAGCAGAGAAACAGCCGCAGCAGAACCAGAAGACCCTCACAAGACAGCCCAGTGGGCTTCCTGGCCCATGGAGCAAGGCGGCTACAGTGGGTATACTGACCCCCGGAGCAGTGAGAGAGTTGAGTGCCTTAGGGCAGGAGGCTTACTGGTGGAATGGGGTGCCTCTGGGCACTTGGTGGAGCTGAAGAGCTTTGTGACACTTGCCGGAACAGGGGCCAAAGGCTAGAGAGAGACCTGCCAGCAGGCAAGGCTGAGACGGGGCTGTCCTGATGGACTCAGACCTCCCTCTGAAGCCAACAGAGAAAGCTTTCCCCACCAGCCGACGCTCTGAATTCGGACTTCTAGCCTCCTAAACTGTGAGAAAGTAAATTTCTGTTTGTTAAAGTCATCCACTTGTGGTATTTCTGTCATGGCAGCACTAAATGACTAAGACACAACTGTGTGTGTGCATTTGTGAGTGTGCACGAGCAAGTGTGTCTTTCCGGGACCCTCTCAGCCTCTTGCCACCTGACTTCTCTCTGGCCACTGGGAGGCTCTTCGCTGCAAGCCCATTTCCTCCTCTTCTCCAGAAAGCTTAACACAA